GCGTATATAACTCTTACTGAAATATATTTCTTTCTTACTGGCCGTTTTCAATTGGAATACATATACTCAGTGGCGCCCCGCAAACCATAAAAAAAAAAGGGTACAAGCTGTAAAAAATGGCATCGTACGTGTATATATACATACTATACAGATATTAATTAACTGGGATTTGGAACATGAGATTAATTGACTGTTCTCTGATTAACGCAGTTAATTAAATCTACGATGCTACTGCGTAAATGAAAATCGCGTTGATCAAATACAGTGGTACCTCGAAACTCGACCAAACAATTACGACCCCGCTAGAAAAAGGTTTCGGTTAATAACAAATATTTTTATTTTAATTTTGTCATAAGTGAAATGTTTTCCGTGATAAAAATAACTAAATTTAAACAAAATGAAACCTTACAGCTTTCTTAGAGATTAAAAAAGGACAACTTCGAAAACAATGGTGAACACGTGTTTTCCAAGTGCCGCAATGTACAAGCTTTCTGCATATAATGATAGCAATCTACAACAACAACAACAACAACAACAAGAAAACACAGACTATGATAACTATCGTCAACATTACAATAAACGTTAGACGTACAGTACATATTAAAAAAAAACTAGTGAGATATTTAATTAATTTTTTATGTATTTCAGGTGAAGCAAAATACAGTGTGGAAGATTAAGAATTCTTAACTTTCTCCTGATTTCAAAGATCAATAAAAACGTAAATTAAAACTGATCAGTATAATGTCTCTGTCGATTTAACTCATATCGCACAACAATTTTCAATAATATAGGCCTATACACATATTAAATTCATTACACGTGGGGGCACCGAGATTCTTTATGATCATGATGACTCGAATTTGGCGAGGACATTGCGAGCTGTATCAGTGACAATAAAATTTCCATTTTATGTGACCGTTGATTCATAAGTCTTATAGAAATAGAAGACACGACACAACGTAAATATATATAGTCTATGCTATGGATAAAGTGATTAATAGGGCATTATTTATAATGCCCAGCCATTATGAATAATGACAGTAATGGTCGCGCAGTCTGATAAATATTGACTAATTTTTAAATTGAGCAGACGTTATGAATATAGCTACAATCTATTTTGGCAATTTAATTTTTTTTTTAAAACTCAAATAATTATTATGTCTAAATATATAAAATTACTTGTCCTGATTGACTGAGTGATTAATCCATCATCGCCCAGAGCAAACCGCTGAACCTAGAGGTAAAATTTCGTACACCATTGGAGTAGCCAGAGTTTTGTTATGGGGAGCCTAGTAGAGGCCAACCTGACACAAAATTGAATTATTTCAAATTATTGTTCATTAAAATGAAATTTCCATAAGAATCGACAATAACTTAACACACATAAAATATGAAACTTCCTTTAATCATACGTTCTCGTAACATTAATATCAAACTCTAGCAATGCCTTAAACAAAAATTAACCAATCGATTATTTTTTTACCATTCTTTAATTAATATAGTTTACCGTCTTTAATCTAGATATAGACCAGGGGTGGCCAACAGTTTATTCCTCCGGGCCGAATTGGAAAGAAAACTTTTTTCAATGCACGAACCAGAGGCGGCCCTAGCAGGATTTTCAGGTGATGCGAGATCACCTTTATTCTGGCGTCACCCTGTAGAGAGATTAAATTGTACACAGAAATTACAGATACACTTTTCACATTGGGCATAGAAAACCGTTGACCTTTTTTTTTATTTAAGGGATCAGAATTTGTCAACATTCCTATAACTTCACAACTTCGCATTGTGAGGTTGTGAAGAATCATCGCTGATCCATTCAAGCAATTATTTGAATTATTTGAATTATTGATAAGTCCATTATTCAGAGATTAATTGCGGGCCGCGGTACACTACACCCAATTAAATTAGCTTCAACTTTTTATATCTTTTTGCAAATCGGCTCAACACTTTTTCGGCTGTAATTTTTTGGAGAGGGCACCAGGTTAACTGGGGGGCCGTGCCCACTCATGCCCCTTCCTGGCTACGCCCATGTCGTACACAGTTAGGGTACGTCATGAAAACGTACACTAAGAAGGGATTTTTTCGAAATTCCCTCTCCCCGCTAGGGAGAGGGAAAGGATTAAGGCTTAACCTGAAAACGGCTTCTGTTCTATTTCAGATGCGATTTTTTGTTTTAAACAACGTTTAGTCTTCATTGAGTACTTAGGTGAAGTAAATTGATAACATTTCAGACATTATTATAAATATTTTTTATATATTTCGACTTTTTAACCAAATGTTCGACCGTTTTAAATTGGAATTTTGTTATTGCATATTGATTCGATTATAAAACGATTGTAAACGTTACAAAAAATTGCTCAGATTGAAAACGTTCGTTTTGAAGTAGTAAAATGATTCTAAGCAATAATGGGTATGTGTTATATAACAATTACTATGGTTGTCGAAGATAGCCATTGATAGTAATAACTTAATTTCAAAACGTACAGTACTTGTAAATCTCATGACGTGTACAGAAACGGGAAAACGCTTAACGGAATGGTTAGATAAGCTAGCGAGAAATGCTTTCCCGAATGATTGATCCGTCGAGATACCATAATCTGGGAGACAAAAATAAGAGAAGAATAATAGACAAAATACAAAACTTTTCGTTTTCAATATTAATACATCATATTTTGCGATTTTTACGATTACGATATTTTGCGTTTAGAACACGTGTATTTTTTATCACAAACATACCACTTTTTACCACTGTTGTATTTTAAAATTTTGCCGCTAAAGAAAAAATTTTTACATACGATCGGACTATAATTTGATTTTTTAAAATTAATTTACCAAAACTCCATGTCGGCTGGTCGGACATCGGCAATCAAATTTTTAAAAATGTTCGAAAAAGCAGGTCCGAATAGCAGTTACAGTATGTAGGTCACGCAACAAGCTCTCTGGAAGTATGCGTGACGAAGATACTGTAATTTACACGTGTACAACTCCAACTCGCCGTCACGACAGGATGTTTATGTTTAGTCGCATGAGTTTGCTCTTTATAGAAAATTTCTGATTAGTTTATTCGATTGATGAACGTTAATTATTTTATTTAAATTTAGAATTTCGGAGAGCATAAAGATACTGTATCAAAACCCTATTCGAGTTAAACAGTTTGATTTAACGTGTAAATCCTTACGTTGGACGATCGAGGAAAGAAAATAACTTTGCTGTATAATTATTACAATCGTACAAAGTTTTGGGTCTCTTCTATTAATGGCCGAGACGTTAATAATAAAATTGAAAAATTAAAATTAATATTCGTAGAAGAAATAACTAACAAATTCTTTGTTTATTCTACAAAAGCTCGTGTTTTAATTCAGCTGTGTTAATTCTATTATGTAAATATAGATTTCTAATTTAGCTTTTGTGTTGGTATGTAAATACATTGAGAAAATACTTCCGCAAATCCATATTGCTTCGGTTATTATTTTAAAAAAGCAAGTTTTTAAAATATATTTAAATTTATTAAAAATTTTTATGTAGCCTATTGTTTCATATTAAAATTTTCTAATTTCTTCGTGGGGCTGGACCCAATAAAAAAAAATGATGATTTAATGCTTTATGACGTAAAAATTAAAATGTAGCATTTTTAATTTAAAATATATTTTCATAGTTATGCTTTAAATCAGTGATTCCCAAACTTTTTCGATTCACTGACCACTTGGTTCCATAAACTTATAGAGTATAACATGTGTTAGATGGTATAGCGAGTAGATTTCTGGTCACCGAGGGGAAGTTTGCCAAGATACTCGAAAAGTGCTTGTAATCCCCATTCAGATTTTGTTTTACAGCACATACGGTCGTATATTCTTTGTATGATGGTACGTTCTAGAAAAGTAATTTAATTTAATTAACTAAACTGCTTGAAGTAACTTTAGAAATCACAAATTTAATCACTCACCATCTGGGAAGAAATCTTGCATAAATTCATTCATCAAATTACAGTCTCGCTTGCCGAAATTATATGTTATCAATTAAAACAGCCACGAATAGTTGTCATCAGAACAAAATGTTCCCTCGAAGTATTTTTCGANAAATTCAAGACCAACTTCGGCTTTGGGAAACACCGTCATTTAATTCAACTCAAATTCCCATCCAATCACAAATATTTACTCATCATATATAAGTATGATCAGTAAACATCTCCTATTACATAGTTTAATCAAGAATTGTGTACTTCTCTTCAATACTTATTATTTTAAGGTGTCAGTCATTTGAAATTCTGATGGCAAACAATTTATAAAAAATAAATGGTTTTTTCATTTCAGACCATTTGTTTTAAGGAGAGGTTTTCAGTGAGGGTTCAGACCATGTACGGAACCTCATATTATACACTGTATAAGCAAAAAGAAATAAAAATGCATGTTGTTTGGATAACGTGTAAATTAAGATTTTTTAAAAAAAATCTATAAAACACTTATAAATTATAAAAATTATGTGAAATAATAAACTCACAGTATAGAATTATCAGAAATGCCTTTTTTTAAACTATGTAGGCACTAAGAAGGTCTTACAAGTCATGAAGAATGAAGGTCTGATGTATCAAGATCAAACATTTCTGAACAACCTACACTTATGAGTTCAAGTATAGGCAAGTCCCCAAAGCAGAAAACTAACACCTTTCTCATCTTGGCCAACTATTAAAAAATATTTGAAAGCTTATCTTGGTAGCAATAATCAAATATAAATTTAATAAATTAAAACAAAGTATGTAAAACTTATCATGTTGAAACAACTTTTATACAACTGTAAAGAGTTATAAACTTCCTATTAAAAGTTAATTTAATCATATTATTTTGAATGTGTTAACATTCAAAATAATAAGATTAAATGCATTTGAATTATATATAAAAGTTATTTGATTTTAATTTTTAACTTTTTATTGAATTATGTATTATTTCATTTGTACAAAATATACGAATTGATTTTATATAAAAATCAGTTTAAGAATTATATGTATATATGTATATGCACATATATGTATATCAACAAATTGATAAAATTTTTTCGAGTATAAATATAATAATATTGAATAAAGTCACAAAAATAATTTCATAAGAATATGGTGAATCAACAACTGTTCTCATTTTTGGGCATTGATTTTACGAGCTTTGTCGACTGACTTCATTTCCTACAAATCTCCTTATACTTTGATGAGAATAATCTTCAATGGGCCTTCTAAATTGAACATTAAAAGTTAATGATATTCGTGGAACTACTGGTAAGAATGTAGGATTCGTTGCACAATTTGAACAGATTGGTCCTCCAGCAACAATCCCCGAATTACTCTGAAATTTTATATATACAGTATATATTTGTTTTTATTAAAATGAAGTTTTATATTTAAAATCTGATTTAGTAAGTTTTAGAAATCTTACAAGTTTGATTTCTTCACGCATCAAAACAAGGGGATTTTCCTCATTCGAAAATAATAAACCACAAAAGAAACATTTTAGTGGATTGTTGGAATCAAAAGTTCTTCTTGAAGCAAAATATTCAAATTTTTCCTAAAAAACATTTTTAATTTGTTTACTGTACATTTTGAATACAAAATTTATTGTAAATTTAAAAGCATAACTTTACTCACTTGAGCTTCCAGTAAAATATAATATAGAGTTGTTGAAATAAGGAGGCATCTTTTAGCTCTTGTAACTGCTACATATAGCAGATTATATTCAGCCTCATCTACCATAACTGTAAAAATAAAAATATCTATAGAATAATCATTATGTTAAAATTAAACATATAGACAAATTTAAAATTTAGATAGAAAGTGTAAATCATATAATAATAGAATATTAGAACTAAGCTGGCTCAGATAGTATGAAGTGATGTAGTGCCACACAATGCAGTTTTGTGTTTAAGTGCGGAATTTTATTTTTATATTTGCTTTTAACCAACTAGGATCCATTCAGCTTTCTTTTAATTAAGTATCTGGGATAATCCTGGACAAAAGTGGAACATGCTGTTAGCCACAACATTCCTTCTTTTCAAGCTGTAACTATTGAATCAATGGAGCCATACACCTATTGCTCCTAAACAGTAAATTTGGTACAGTAAATTGTATTGGTCCTTTACTTTTACTTTATATTTCAATAATTTGATTAAAATTTTTTACTTTATTATTATATAATACTCAAAATCTACGTAAAGAATTTATGATGGCAAATTTCTCTAAGTCAATTTAACATTACATAATTCTATAAATTAGTCATATCAAAGAAAGTTGTAAGCCAATATGCAATTTTTTTAAATAATTTTTCTATTTAGATTATAGAAGTGTTTTCATTGCAATGTTTTTAGACTGTAATAAGGAAAAAATGTTTAGTAAAATAAATTATTTAAATTCAAAAATACAAAAAAACAAAAACTAAAAAATCTTAAGTTAACTTAAAATTAGCAAACTATAAATAAGCAAACTTAAAAATATGGACATAGAAAAAAGCATGAAATGTTTTTTGTTTCTTGTAAAGGATGAAATTTGTTGACTGCAGTTGCTAAATAAATCAAAACTTTCACATAATATATTTACAATACTTTTAGAAGTTGATATAAATACTGTAATACAAATATAGCTACCTTATACTTCAAATTTAATTCATTCCAAGAAGTCATTCAAATTCTGAATTGTTCAAAGTCCAAAATCAATTTTCCCCATTAGAAATAATGGAAAGTAAATTAATTCATTTCCAGGCCTTAAACAATACTCAATTTTTTGATATACCGTATTTTGATGAGTATAAGTCGCTGTCAAGTATAAGACGCACACCTATTTTGAGACAAAAAATTTAGAAAAACTTTTTAATGGGATTGTCTAAAGATGCATTTTATTAATCATAGTGGCCAAGAAATTCTTCAACTGAATCACCGCTATCTACTGGTAAGTTATATCCATTAGGAAACATATCTATGACGTCATTAATGACTGATTCATCATCCCTTTTTTCTTGAATTCCCAAAGTATTGACTGAATCATCATCATCAGAATCTTCATAGATTGCCTCATCTTCTGTACCACCCAGAGCATTAGATATTCCAGTTTTCTTGAATGACTTAATAATGATCTCCGTTTTAATACCTTCCCAAGCACGCAGCACCCAATCACACACTTGTGCAATGCTGGCTCGTTTTAGTCTCCTTGTTGATGTTAAACTTTTATTTGCAATAGTCATCATCCACTTGTTCCATTCATCACGAATTATTTCAGTTTAATAAAGGTATCGATTCATCCATCCGTCATATTCTTGAATAAAAAATGAATAAAATGCTTTATTAAACTGAAATAATCGTAATTTCTTAATGTAAACTCAGAGGTCACATGATGAAAGTCGACAGAACATGGAGGAGATGACTTGTGTGTCGCTACTCTGATAATCTAGGTACTCTAGCCATTCGGTTGAGGGACCATCTGCTTAACGGACCACTGCACAGGTTGGTCCCTAGATGGACCACTACTGTAAATACTTTCACTGTAAAAATGGTTACCTGTCGAGAATAAGAGCACCATGATTTTGAGCCCTAAAAAGTAGTAAATTTTACTTCATATTTTCATCAAAATACAGTACTTAAAACACCAAATACACATACAGTCGACCCCCCTATAAGATATAGATACGTTCCATTCTTTAGGAATCCGATTTCTTACAAATCCTTCCGATCACAACCCGACACGTGTCAAGTTTACGGACTACGGCTGTTTGAAAGATTTTCTTCCATAAAATTAATCGATTCTAGACTAATCTGACTCAACATTTCCAAAATACGTATATTTTTTCGTAGTTTTATAGGAATCGTAATTATAGGGACCGTAATTATAGGGGGGGTCGACTGTAATTTAAAGTAAAAATAATACTATTAAATGCCCTAAATAATAAATTAAAACATGAGAACAATAAATAAAATATGTAAATACTCATAATGAAATGAAAATTTCATTTATTGGTCACACACTATCAACTTCATCACCTTAAACATGACTCCCAGATCTGTCAGGTGTACCACTTTTATGCCATAAGTTCCTTTTTCACTTCAGTCATTGATAATTCAACCTTCTCAGGCTTTGTTGCTTCCATACATTTTTTGGATGCCATAGTTAATAAGGATAGGTTATACTGGATTGAACAAAAGTTTTCCTATTTTTAATAGCTGCCTTTACTTAACGTAGTTGTGTGATTTAATTATAACAGTTGTAAAATTTAATACATTATTGCTATGTAAAATTGTATTCTTTGTTTAGAATCTTATTTTAAAATTTTACTTCATATTTTGTTTGAATAAAAAATCAAATTAAAATGTCTTCAGATAAATAGCATATCAGGCATATTGTGCTTTATAAGTTTCATAAAGGATACAATTCCATGCAAAGATTAAAAAAGATTAGTAATATGTATGGGAAAGATGATCCTAAACCTTGAATATGTCAGATGTGGTTTAAAAAGTACCATTCAAGAAATCTTTAACTAAAGGACACAAAACATATGGGATGACCAAAAGCTGTCAAGAAAGAAAAATTGCAGGAAGAAATTGTTAAAAATTGATGGACAACACACAACATATATACCAGTGGTTCTTAACCTGGGATGCGAGAGAGCATTTCCAGGGGTGTAACAGAAATTTCAAAAATTAAAAAAAAAAATAATAAAAAGAAAGAAATATGAACAAGGCGACCGTGTTCTCTACAAAATGGCATCCAGCAACACAGCACCCCCACTTCTTCATTCTCTACCATCTCACTTCTACACTCTCTACTCTACCATCTCTCAGCACATAGCGCTTGTCATCAGTAGAGGATTTGATCCCGGGATCTCGAAAATCGGGATCCCGGGATCCCGATAACTTTTCAGTCCCAAAATTTTCGGGATTAAGGTTTTCTAATCCCGAGATTTTCGGGATTGACATCATTTTAAAAAAAGTTGCAAAATAGACTGCATGAAGCGAAACGTTCAGTGCCAGTGCTTTTAACAGAATTGCTTGCCTATCATCTTAATATAAAATACAAGAAATTTTATTCCAAGCAAGCAGCAGAAATTAACCTAGCGGGCTTGCGATGCTTGCTTGGAATAAAACTTCTTGTATTTTGAACTAAAATGATAGGCAAGCAGTTCTCACTGGGTCACTTGGTAATATACTTCATTTTTGTATTTTTGAATTTTCGCGGGCGCCAATCGATTTTCTGGTGCAGTCGAAAGCACTACTCAGTGCGTTTTACCTGTCAATGTGTCAGCCATCTTGTTTTGCCAGTGTAGTTAATATAGACCCGACGCCTCTCGCTTAGAGGGGTCGACCTTAGGTGAAAAGGTTACGACCCTCGCCTTGCCCGTGATCTGTCAGGATGATACGAGAAAGTCTTTTTACCTTTCGGGGTAGTGGTTTGCTGGACGCTGAGAGACTCACACAGAGACCGAATTTACAANATATACCAAACACACTAAAAATAAAGTGAAAAAAACACTGAAAAACACAAGTGTAATGCAAATGATGACTTAGGCTCACAACACATGGTGTTTAAGAATGAGCACAGTTTTTACTTAAAAGCATTTTTCAAACTCCAAAGTGAATTTCTGTCAAATTCAGCATTAGAATTCTTGAATGTTAAAAGTACAAGGTACCACTGTATTACAAAATATGCTGTTTTTTTATGATAATCTTGTTATTTATGTAAATACAGTCTAACTTCTATATAATGAAGTTGCTAAATCTTGAAAAAATTCGCTATACAGAAATTACACTTTTTGATAAATAAAAAATTATTTTAACATAATTTTTTCATTATTTTACTTAATTTAAATTAATATAAATGTAATATACAGTAATAATGTAATATAAATGTAGTTTTAATTTTAAGTAAAACTGCATTTATAAATTTACGTTTTTAAAAATTACATTTATAAATTTATTTAAAGTTTTATATATTAATAAAATTTTAAATTTATTTGTTAAAATACTTAGTTTAACTACATTTTCAAAAAAAAACTGTAATTTTTTGTTGCACAGAACAATTAAAAAATGTTCACATTTATTAAGTACATTAAAACTGCTTCATCTACATCATCCTTTCTCAAAGTGGGCGATAATGCCCCTTGTGGGCGCTGGAGGCTTTCAGGGGGCAGTAGAAGGCTCAGTGATTAAATGTGAGTTTTATTTCTTCTCATTGAAACATTCTTTGATCTCAGAAGTAGGATATGGGTCACATCCTATCTATCCTATCCATATAATAATGCATGTTTAAACATTATTTGTAATAACTGTTTTTAAGATGTACAACAGATGGTAATGTAAAAAGGTAAGTTAAAAAATATGGGGCACTAGATTTTTTTTAATCTCAAAGTGGGCGGTGGTCGAAATAAGTTTGAGAACCTGTGATCTATATCAACATAAATGCAGGTTCTAACACATTTTCCTGTAAGTCTCACATCATCAGCTAATTTCAAAAGTGATTCACAGTTTGTTAAGGTTATACAGTAATACCAAACTTTGATATAATATCTTTCTTTTTCAAGCCTTTATCAACTTCCCACAACACTAATTTTTTAGTAATGCTTAAATATTATAGGGGCTGTCCATAAATTACATCCAAATTTTTCTTCAAATTTTTACTCTTACTCCCCCATTGTTCCAGTTTGACCAAGTTTCATAACACCCTCCCCTCTTCAAATGTCCAACAAAACTCAACCCCTTGAAAATCATTATCACTTTTATGAATATTAAAATGTATAAACTGTGTAAAATTTAATGAAATAAAATGTACTGGTACATCCATTGAAGTTCTCCCTTATCTGCCTTGTTGTAACCCCTCTTCCAGTGTGGATATCATTTATGGACAGTTCCATATTAACAGTTCTTCAAATCCCAACTGGACAATTTATTAAATAAAATAAAATCGCACTAACCTCAAAGATTAGTTCAGCAGTTATCAAAATTATCACCTTTCTAACATTTTTAACATTACAGTGGAACCTCGATATACGACCTTAATCCTTTGTTTACTTCATGAGGGTAAACAAATGTCTGATGTGCATTTTAATTACAATTTTTCTTTTACAATGTATTTGTTTGAAAAAGCATGCATTTTTTTATTAAAATATTATAGTTAAAGAATCTTAATGGGAATACAATAATAATAATAATAAATACAATAATAATAATAATAATGACTTCATTCAAATAACAAAAATATTGAAACTAAATTATTCAACCATAATTTTCAAATTCAAATTTAATCTGCAAACAATAAAAACTTTAAGGATTGTAATTTTAATTTTTAGCTGTATATATTTCATTTATGCATCAAACATCTATTAATATAGTTCATTTGTTAAAACTTTCACTGTATCTTTTGTATACCAACAGGAATTTCACTCAAAATATAATAATGAATGTCATTCAGTATGTGCAAAACATTTTAAATAAAAGATTTAGCACACTTTTGAAAGAAAAATAAAAATTATATTTATTTATAGGTTTTTTAGTTTCACATACACATCCAGAAAGTATTTAAAACACATTAGATGAATTAGAAATACAGTAGAACCTCGATTATCCGCCCCCGATCAACCGACCGTCCTAGTCGGCAAATTTCAAATGTCCGCTAGTGATGTGGCGCTACAATATTTGGCTGTGTCTTGGCTACTTTAATATTATTTTTACGTGTTTTAGCCAGCAACACTCATTCGACCATGAAAGGGAGCCAGTATTTAAACGAAGCTTAATTTTCTAATTTTTAACGATACAATAGCGACGATTATTATTTTAAAAAATTTTTGTTAGGCTTAACATCGATGAAAATTCAACGCAAAATAGGTTAATAGCGATATACTAATATACTAATTACATGGGATATAATAATATACTACACTAATAATGGATTTTTTCATACTT